GGAGGAGGAAGGGGCTGAGAAAGGGGGGCCAAGCCCCCGGCCCTGCTATTCCCACCACAACAAGGCAGAGATTGGGTGCCTGGGAGCTCTCCCAGCACCAATGGGGTCTCTCCCTTCCTTCTGGGGAGGGGGAGAAGAAGGGCAGCGGGTTGCCCTGACCCTCTGCCCCCTCACCTCCCCCAGCTGGTGTAAATCAGCAATCCTCATCCCCCTGCAGCATAAAGCAGCTGCTGGAGCAGCACTGGAGCTGCTTCTCCTTGTTTACTTTGCTGTCCCCAGACCCTGCTCCCATCTCCCCCCCGAAGTGATAGGCTTAGGCCTCCCTACACCCCTCCCTGGCTCCCCAGCCCCTTCAGGTCCTGCAGGATGATGGTTTGGGAAGGAGTGTGGATGCTTTGGGACACAAACCTGACCCAGGACCGAGGGGAGATGGGTTTCAGCAAATCCTGACCGTGGTGGGCCCCTCTGAGTGCAGGGCAGCTCCCAAACCTGGGTGCTGCTCCCTGGGGACATGATTTTGGGGAGAGAAAGCTGTGGCCACCCTTCCAGCCTGGAGAGGAGCCTGTGTGACAGACAATGCCGACATCTAGTGACAACCGTGGGGTCCTCAGCCAGCTGGGCATGGGGTGAGACCCTGATTGAGGGGTCCCAGGGCCTGGTGCCTCCAGGAGGATTTGGATCTCTGCAGGGAATGAGGTTTGGCTGTGGGAGGTTGTGATGGGCATGTGAGTGTCCTTGTGCTGCCCTGAGATGCAGGAGAGGATGGGGATGAGGAGCCTTGGCTGGAGCTGGGGAGCTGCCCCTGGACCAGGGCTCTTTGCATCCCACGGAGTGACTGCAGGCTCTGCCTCCCTGCCTGCTCCCAGCCTGGAGCCAGAGAATCCCACGGGCTGGGAAATGGCACTTTCAGGTCCCCTCCAGACCTGTAAAAATCCTGCTCATGTGAAATGACTATTTTTGAAGCATCCTCCAGCTCAGCTGTCAAAAATCAGCAGGGCTGAAGCCTGGAGAACAGGAAAGCATCCAGAAACTAACCCCCAGTGATGCCTCCATCCCTCCCTCTCTCCTCCGACACTTCTCCGGGTGTATTTTCCCTTCTATAAATGTCCTCGCGGGGACTCGCTGGGATGCGCTGGAGCGGCAGCTCCCGGCGCGGGGAAGGCTCCGCACGCACATGCCGTGTCTGCTACAACCACTAGACGGCAATTCCAGCCTGGATTATGGCTTGGGAAAAGATCTGGGCTGCGAGACGAGAGGCTGCAGTGCTCGGAGCAGCAGCGACCTTCAGACCGGGAGACTCGCTCGGTGCAGTTACAGGAAGGGCTTTATTGTCGGGTTGGTGTCTACAGTTCATGCTGATGATAGTACAGGATTTTGGGGGGTTCTATGCTGTTTGCATGCAGGTACAACGCGGAGGGTCTGGGTGAGCTCTGCAGGTCATCCCCAAAGCTCAGCTGTCCCTTTGGTCCTCAAACTCAACTGTCCAAGGATCCGAGTCGGGTGGTTTGGGCTTTTGCTGGATTCAAACGTGCTGAGGGTGCACGTGGCACTGTGACATGATTTTCTCTTTGGACTGGGGTGTCCCAGCTGCCTGGGCAGGGAGGGAGCTCAGGGCCAGGGCAGGGAGTGCCCAGGCAGCCAGGGGTGACAGCACCAGGAATTTCCCCATCCTGCCCTGATCCAGTGGTCTGGGAGGAAGATGTGAGACCTCTCACCCACAGCCCATAAGCAGGCTGTTCCTCAGGGGGTTTCTCTCTGACCCCAACAGCAGGAAAGGTTTCTCTCCTTTAATTCTGGAGCAGGAG